CTACAAGCATGGCATGTTACAGAATGTTCGAGCATCAAAAACCGAAAAGTGTGTGCTTTTCAAAAAACACTGACAGGACTTTCCTTACATGCAATAATTGTACAGTAGTTCACAAAGTGCTCAGAAGTAGTGTATTCCTATGTTTTCGCTTATGAGGAATTCAACAATAAAGGTCTCATATCGCAAAATTCAAAGGCAATTTTGCAGGACAAAAATTTGAGGTGTCCACATACTTTTGTTACGCACTGTATCCTCGTTTTGTACAGCAACGGCGACATGGTATCCGTGTCGCCGTGGCTGTACAAAACGTCTGGTTAGAAAAAAAAACCAGTTCCATGACAGCAAGAGTTTAGAGAATCAGAGAGCACTTATCACAATGATAAACTAACCTTATGGTGATCTGAAGGAAGATCGTCGAGGTAAGGACCTATTCTCATATTCTGCACCTCGCACAGTAATTCAGTCAGACAATTAATCAGTACTTGAAGTGCAAAAGGAGGCTGAAAGTGTGCACTGTTCAATCAATACACTCGCAATTCTAGCAGAAAGTCTAACAAACAAGGTGACCTCAGTGTCACTCACCTGGCTTACAAGTCTGGTAATTGAGCAGGCTACATTGAAAAGAGTGGACAGCTGAGAATAAACCCGCTCATCCCTACGTATCGTGACCTGAGCAGGTGGCAATAAATCCTCTCTGCAACAGTTGCGAGGAAGTAAAATAAGAATCTATGTAAGGGTAATACTACCATAATGTCGAAGAGAGAGTAGAGAAACCCACTTGATCTCTGGAGGAAAAGGAAGCTTGCTGCGACGCAGGTTGATAACCTTAATGAAAAAGTCTCATAACAACCATCCTGCGCATGAACAACCAGACTTCTGAGAACTCGGAAATCCTCACCTCCTTCTCAGCGTGACCTTTCGACAACTCGCAAAAGGCTTGTAGCAGGTCATCAGCAACACGGACACCTTCGTGACCATGACTCTCTGACGCGTCTGGGCGACTGTTGGCTGACGCGTGGTTACTGTTCTGCAAAACTCGATAGGGTTATGAGGACAGTGCATCGATACCCATGCCTTACCTTGAGATATGCCAGTTTTGTAGCAGCGGCGAGCAGTAAGAGATGCTGAATGAGTCTAAGGCCATGGAAAGTGCTTTCGCACAAGGACTCGATAAGTCGAACTTCCTGGGAAGGGTCGAATGCCTGCAAGATAATCTGGAACTTTCACTATGTCTGCTATTCCTAGCCAAACGTTGGAACGCTCCGAGTCTTTGCAATTCTTGGAGAACACAATTCCACGATCGAAGCCACAGAAATACTTAAAGACACATTCCGTGCTAACCTGATGATAGAACTCCTATTTCGTGCCCGGGTAGAAAGTCCACGAGAGCACAGTTTGTCACAGTTCAGCACCCGCAAATGTGTGCCAAAGATGCCAGCAGCTTATGCCTTCAGTCGTACTTGGCGCTCTGAGTGCGTCCGCACACAAATATACAACCGCCTCTATCGCTCTTGCGGCTTGTACAGCTGCGTCTTTTGCAGGCAGACGCGTAGGCCCCTACCCTCGTGGAGAGGTGTCTCTGCGTCTCTCACTTCACCGCGCACTCGTCCAGTTCTCAAGATGAACCAGTTCCTACTTGGAGCATTTAGTATTGTTCCTTCCACCCTTTCTTCACGGGCTAGTCAACTAGCTCCTATAAACTCATATTTGTATTTTCCAATACGATCTAAGGTAAACGTGGAAACGTCTACGAGTGAACATGCATTTCAAAAACGCTTGCGATAGATGTGTTCATCGACTCTCGGCTACGCTCGATACGCATTTAAATGATGGATAAGAAGGTGAGAAAAGTCGTACCCGCAATATCTCCGAGAAAAGTGGTGCTAAGGACGAGATACGTTGCCTGTAGGGCATCCGCTCACAGGTATCAACAAGTGCCATTGCAATCTTCTCGACAAGGTTTTCATCCCGAGGTCGTACAGTAACGCCTAAATATCGAGCTTTCACGCTCTCACACCATAGAAAAATTGGCTCAGAGGCATTGGTTCAAAGAAAAACTGAAAGAAATCTCACCTCTCTTGAGGAAATCGAAAGCCAAATCTATGTCGAATAGGGCTAATTCGAAAAGCGACCGGAAAAAGCACTCCGCAGGTGAAAACGGAAAGTCTACAACGATTTGTTCGCTTTGTTCCTGTTGATCAAGTGCCAAGCACTTATACAATCCCGTGGGAAGCTGCAACAATCATAGAACTAAAAAACGGCCGAAAATTACGAAGTAGCAAATCAAAATGGATTCATCTTTTCGACAGACCTGTTGTTTGGGTGCAGAAAGTGTGCGAGAAAACCATGTACAAACAGCGTACCTCACCCACCAAGAATAACGCCGCAGCGAGAAAAGAACAAAATCAGCTGTTTCTTGTTCAAAGACAACGCCTTCAGCTGAAAATAGTTGTTATATATGAGCACGGATGATGCCATCGTTCGCAATTTGCCAAAAGTACTAACATGAATAACCCCCACAGATGGTAGACATGCATCGTTTATGAGAACAGGAGATTCTCGTAAGGATAGTGGAGTCAGCTGTACTGTTACAATCCCACCCTTTTAGGAACCTCTATCCCACCGATTATCCTTTGAAGAAAAACTGTGCACTCGCCTCAGAACAATTCTTCCTTCGTGGGATGGGGATGGTTCCGCAGCTGTGACAGCATGCCACCTTCTGCGCTCGAACAAGCACGAAAATGGGGAGGTAGAGTAGTAGTTTTCGACCCCGCTCCACACATCGCCCGCGCTACCCTAAATCTGCAGCACTTTCCTGCGATAGGAACGGTAGTGACAGAATGCAGACAATTAGCGCGCTTGTGTACGATTCAGCGTGTCGCTTGTCGTGTGGCAGCGCGGGCGAAGTATCGAGACGGCACGAGCAGCGGGTCCATTTACCCCACCCATTGTAGGGCAGGATCCACGGATGTGAATGCACAGTTGGTCTTCTACCATTTTCGCGAAAACTATGTGCTACGTGTTCCCAAACAGTGTAAAACAGACTAGAAAACAGACTAGGAGTCTATCCTATCAGTATTTCGATGATTGCTGAAAACAGAACGAACTTCCTCACCAGATAGCTTATCACCGAGTGTCTTCAAAAGAGAGTGGCAGATGTCTGCTGCCTGCGGATGTTTTGGTTCATACTCCATGAGAAGCTCCACAATTAACAGAACAAGTTCGGGAGTCTTGTAGGTCATCCGAGTCTTGAAATCAGAGTTATCTTTACAAATACTTTCCTAGTAATGAAAACACTGGAGAGACACCTCTACAAACTCGAAAACGTACTACTTTTTCCTAGAGCTGTTTGACCAGTCGAAGTGAGTTTCCTTGACGCCAACAGTTTGCATGAGCCTTGAAGATGGATCATGTTCAACATATGTGCTAACTAGATAATTCTTCACTAAAGCTTCGGAGATGGCAAATGTGGGATATAGGTAAGGTAGTGACAGTTCACCGTAACATAATTTGGGATTAAACTGCTTGTCCAGGTTTGACAACCCTTTTATTGTTCCCCGATGTTTCACTTTGAACTAGATCTGCGAAAATAGTAAGACCGGGTGTACTTATTATGTCCCCAAAAACGTTGTAAAGGCCAAACAATCAAATGCCCCTACGATTCTAAATAAAAGCTGAAGGAGTAGCGTGTATAAAACAAAGAAACTGATCAATGAACTAACCGGTGTAGCAACTTGAGCATAAGAATCTCATGTGACCTTTTCATGAGATTCGGTAGAACAAACAGTTTGACCAATTCATTGGCATTCAAGACTTGACGGTTCTGATACATTGGAAGGGGACCGATCTGGAATGTCAATCAAAAAAAAGGCTGCATACAACGCTCCCTTCGTCGTCTCCCACACAACGGTAATCTTCTGGCCCGCACATCGTTTTTAAGCAGTTAACGAATCACAAGTGAGAACATCGTTGACTTGCCTGCATAGTAAGGAACAACAATCACGGACTCACCTTCGCTAGTCTTCTCTTTGGCATCACTTCTTTTCCTGCGACAAAGTGAAGACAAAAGGTAAACTAAGCGATCCTGCTGCTCGGTACTCGTCCACCTCAAAAACTCCTTTTCACTCAAACAAGTAAATATTTGCGGAAAAAACTAATCCTGCTAAATTTCTGAACAGCGATCCGCGCAAGTTGTACCCTTATCCAAGGTCTGCGCGAACCGCTTTTTCTTCACTTTCACCTGAACTCAGTTCTTGCAGCAAGACAGTAAGCTGACACCACTATGACCGAAGACAGAGTAAGTACGGAAACTGAGCCTGTGGGCAAGTATTTCCCCACTATTTCGCGAATTTTCCGCTCGGAGAGTAAATTCAGGACACTAATGTCTCTGCAGTCAGCGCCCTAGCTCTTGGCTGCAGAAAATATGGAGATAAGTCCAAGATGTCACGTATCGATTCTGTACGGGCAATCTTGCGGGGTAACTAACCTGTGAGCTTCTTCTTCAAATATTGAGATAATGCAGCTGAGCAAAACCGATTTCACTTGTGGCGGCACCTTCTCCGACCTGTACACTTGTTCAAAAAGAACGCTGCAGTGGCGGAAGATCTAAAAAGCCATTATCAGGAATACGTGACAATACAGACACATAAAAAAGGAAGCGTACATTAAGCACCCCAGGCACGACCAGTTTGTTGTCCAACGTTTGTATTAGCAGTCGATGTAATGTTGGTAGAGGGTTCGTGAGTAGATAAAATGAAAGCTACAAAGAATAATGCGAGTCAGCTGAATACCCTTTCGATGAAAAGTCTGCACTGATCCTTTGCGTCAGTAGTCTTCTGAGCCTAAGCCAGCGCCAGTGATTAGGAAAGAATGGATACCATACGAATGCCAGTGTCCGCCAGTGTACGCCAACGCACAGCAGCGTTTTCGAGGTAATCTTGCTCAAGCTCAACTCGCCGCGAAAACGCTAGCATTCGCTAGATCAATATCCATATCTTCCTGGCGTGCGCCCGACGCAAAGTGTGAACAAGGTAGAGAACAGTTGAAAAGCATACCTTATCCCGCACTTTTTTGAACTTCGAGAAATTATTCTGAATTTCAACATGGTCGCCTATTCCATTCACACACTCGGTGACATCAATGTCGAAATTCTAAAATTTTTCAACTAGATGAGTATCTCTTCTTGGACTTGAAATCAAAGTAAATGTTCACCTTCAGGTGTTTGCCTAATGAAGGTAGATTTCCATATTTATCATGCCATGCTTCATAAAAGCGTTTCATCACTGGAAGCTGTAAAGAGAAATATTTCCACCTTCAGGTAAAGATCAATGCTCAGTTCAAATACCTTCACATCTTCTGGGAGAGAGCAGAATAACTTTTCGAACATGGCGAAGAATGCAGAAACGACTTCCAAAGAAGAAGCAAGGATAGTATCCATGGCTGATACAATTCTAGAATATGAGAGAGCAGTGAAAGGAAGTGGCATAAACGAAGGTTAACAATGTGAATATGCAACATACCTAGTGGTTAACTTTATAAAGCTCTCAGCATCACCAGCGCAAACGACACACCTTTCACAATTTCGCTGCGGATTTACCGAAATGTCACTATTTCAGCATATGTCGTCCAGTACCTGGATAGCGACCCATTATTCAGACGTAAGCAGCCATATTAAATTCGCAAGTTTAATTCAAAGTTCAAATTTCATTCGCATTTCACTAACATTGTCTACACGCCGGATGAAATCGTTGCGATTTTCCGTAGGTTCACATGGGACAATGCTAACACTAGGGCTATGACTAACAGAAAGATCCTTGAGGAAGTAAGGCAACTGCTTTGTAGTATGAGATCGCAAAACTGTAGGTTCTTGTTCCTGAACAACTGCTATTTAGCAGGAAGTATGACAATGTTATACATTTGTCAACGAAGCAAACCTTGTCCACAAGACGAAGAAACTCAGCAGGTAGGAAGTTACGAGATTTCTGGTCGATACCTGAAATCGGTTGTTTAGGAGTATGTCGGCTCCTGGCTCTTGTAATTTTCCTGCGACTTCGTTCCTGCCATGTAAAGCTATGACACCTTGTGTCACCCGTTGCCCTTATATAAGAAAACATGTAGCTATGGAGGAAGGCAAAAATTGAAAAGTCTCACCAGTTTCACAAAGCAGAAGCACAATTTTATCCAACATTTCATTGAGAGATGATATTTCTTCTGGCTGCAGCAAGTTCGAAGGTCGTTGTCAGTTGATAGACTTCCCAGAAAAGTCTTATTTGCTCCATAAAAAATGAGTTATCTCCCGAATTCCTGAAACATGGGGAGTCAGAGCAAGATTTGGTCATGTTGATTGGCTATCAAACCTCCATAGACATTCACTCAAAGCAGATGCGGCAAATATAATACATGTAAACGCATTTCGCGAACTAGTGATGAATGATAGACGAATAAACGATTAGCGACCCTCGCCGCTAGCATTTGGAGTGACGACATCACTCGGGAAAGAATATTCGCACAAGAATTTTCCGCTCCTCTCTTCCTACATTTCTCATCTACATACGCTGGCAAACCAACCCCACTGTAAATAATTTGGTCCTTTTGATTTTTTTGCGGGCGGAGCATGCTACGAAGTTGGCGGGACAAGACGCAAAAATCTGAACAACGTTCCCAAAGCACTCCAGGCACCGGCAAGAGGTGAGCAAAGGTATGCAGCGGCACGGC